TCTTTGGATTGCGGCGCTCTACGCTCCGAACAATATGAATGCAGTCGAGCGTGGTCAAGTGCTAGAGATGTTTGACTCTCGAAATCCCGTTTTCAGAAGATCGTGTATGTCTAGTGGCCACACGACACCTTACAACTACCGCCTGCGTTCGACCTTCCTAAGGGCGATTCTCATGAAGTTGATGCATGCTTTCAGCTTCCGCTACTCTGCTCCACTGGAATGGATGGATAACGCCGAGGAGCACTACCAGAACGCGCAGAAAGTCGAGACGCATGATTTCATGATTCAAGCTCTGCAGGAAGGTTTGAGGAACGAAGAGTGGAAAGCGATTGCAGATCATGCAGAGGAGCAGAAGTGGACTGATCAGGGATAGCAAGAAGAAGCGCAAGTCAGGCAGCGTAGAGCATGACGAGGTATTCGCGAAGAGAAAGAAGTATCAGGCTAAACAAGGACCGATTCAGGAGCTATTGTACCATTTTTCCATAAAGAATGTTAACTCGAGTTTTTCTACGCCCACATAGGTACGAAATTGCGCGACTAATGAACTCTGATTGTTCATTAGTCGCCCAAGTCGATTGAACGCCGTATAAAGCGACCAAAAAGTACCAACATAGGCAGGTTTGGCCCAGGTTTATTGGAAAGGCAGCGGTTAGGTCACCATGTCCTGTACCGAGAAGGTATACGCAGGCGATCGGGCTGATCAGATACTTAGTTTCTCTGTCGTAGATGCCAAGTAAAAGGTATATTCAGTTTACAGACTCCGTACCAGATACTCATTGCTTGACGCCGCTGGCCACAGCAACTCTCCGTCGCTTGTTTCCGCGTCTAATTTCCCCCAAATCAGCTTCAATCTCCGTCTCCTTCGACGCGCTCAGCATCGCGAGACTCTTCCCCAGACCCCCAATAGCTTGACTCTGATGAGTGCCACTACCTTTGGGTCTCCGTCGACCGCCTGACGGGTTAGCACTGGCGGTAGTATTGCTAACAGCAACTCCGCCACCAACAGGTATAGTTGTGGATGTTAGAGGAAGGGGAAAAGGTGAAGGAATTTCGTCAACGGAAAGCGAGTGAGGATTTAGGAAAGGACCGGAGGTGATGGGAAGACTGCTGATGGCGCCTGGTGTGGCATTTAATGCTGCAGATCCCGGTGCTCCGAGGGGTGTAGGCGGAGGAGAGGTACCAATCTTGTTGCGTAACTTTCGAGTGATATGAGGTCTAGTCTGAGAGTCCATTGTGACATCTACATACGTTCAAGTGTGAGTGTTAAAGTTAAGAAAAAAGAATAAAACAAACCGGCAGAGGTTCCTTCGCCTTCCTTCTCTTCCCTTGCTCGTCTTCTGCGTTCCTCGATACCTTCCATTAGACGTTCCCGTACGCGATCCCTACCTTTCTTCCATTCATCCTCGACTCTATGTCTCTCTTCCTCATAAGCTGTCTGTGCACGCTCTAAACCATACGCTTCTTCCAGCTCGTACTGATGCAGCAGAGCAGAGCGTTCAATGGAGATGGGAAGAAGCCGAACGTTGTAAATTGGCATAGCATCTGGTTTCGTCGATAATCCAACTGTTGTGGTTATTAGAGCGTTCATGTTCTCTGTGTAATGTCTGCCACTGTATAACTTGTCAGATTGGAGATTGGAATCGAAATAACATTAGGCCACTAACTCATCTCTGCGGTCACTTATTTCTTTTCCTACTTTTCCAGAAAGATCCTTTCTTCTCTTTTCTTTTTTCCCCTCATCGAAAGGTACTGGATTAAATGACAGTTTTCAGAGCTCTTCCTTCGAAAGGCGGGGTTTATAACTTGCCATGAGATTTTGATGGTCCAGCGAAGGATGTTGGATGGTGATTGGGATATGAAAAGTTCATTTCCAAGGATACTCGTTAGAGACGATGACAGCGAGAGGAGAAGAATGAAAGCCTGCGACCGGTCCGTTCACAACCGGAACGCTTTGACCAGGTTTGGCGCCCTCGCACAGTGGTTGATCAAATACTTTAAACACAGGTTAAGTTAGGTTTATCACCGGCTTGCAAGAGCTAATGCGCGGATCCAAGAACTCGATGTGCCTACAATCAACTTGGGACCAACCCATCGCGGTCACAGGAAACTATACATTTCTTATTTAATCATCAGATGCTTTATTCCGCATGCCACGCGTCTCATTATTCAGTTGAAATCTTCCCTCCCGGTGAAATGCTTGGATCTATCTACGCGTTAGTCAACAAACCTCGCTAAATACTCGGGTCATTCGGGTATCCTTGCCTGACACGTACAGGGCAATGGTACAATATATAAATCACCATCCTCTCTTCTTCACTTCCGTCTATCCTCGCTGGCACTATGAAGCGTAAGTGCCCGCCATTCAGATTCTTATGCTCTAGAACTCATGAAATGCTCAGGACGTAGCTCCCAGATCCTCACCTGCATTCTACTATCGATGTTGATCATCGTTGGATTTATTTCCTACACGGTAAAGTATCTCTTTTCATCGCCTCCAACAACCGTAACCAACCAATTCAAAGCAGTCTATCTGGTATCCCGAAAAGTTGCAACTTGGACTGCTCAAACTTTCGCCATCTCAATGGACTTTTGACGGTCTTTCGTCTCCCCCGCCCGAGGTATATCCATACGACGACCGTTACTTTTCCGGTTCTGTAGCTGCAATGGAAGCGGATGATGAGAAAAGGGAGGCAGTCGTGGCGGCTTTCAAGGTACGAGATTACTCTTCCTGGGAAAAAGTTCGCATGAACTCATCGTCTTTCATAGCACGCCTGGGGTGCATATGGTGAACAATTCGATCTCGGTCTTGCCAACAGCCTATCCTAACATTTCGATTTGTAGCACGAGATGCCATGGGATACGACGAATACCATCCTATCAAAGGAAGAGGATCGAATTTCTCAGCAAAGGGTGGAATCGGCTACACCGTAGTGGATGCCATAGATACAATGTATTTGATGGGACTTGAGGTCGGAATATGAAGTTGCGCGTCACTGGATTGAAACCGAGCTTTCATTCAATCACTCAGGTTCGATGGTTTCAACGTTCGAGGTGCGTTACCACTATAGATATACTATGCCTATATAACACATATTGCGTTTACAGACAACAATCCGTGTCCTAGGAGGTCTATTGAGTGCACGCTATCTCACCTCAGACGCCTTGTTTCTAAAGCACGCCGAGGACCTGGGACATCGCCTTGTAGTCGCATTCAATACTTCGTCAGGCCTTCCACAGCCAAGCTATTGATCTCGGCCAGCCCTTATACTTTACCGTCAACGTTCAATGACGACTAGTCCTGCCGAAGCAGGGAGTTTACAGCTGGAATTCAAGTATCTTGCGGAACTAACCCAAAACGAGACGTTTTGGCACAAGGCGGAACATGTCATCGCCGTGATGCGAAAGGGTCTGTTGCCCAGTGGATTAGCACCTACGAGTATGAAGTGTGTTGGAGAATTTCTATTATTTACGCGGCATATCTCTGACCACCATCGGTATGACCAGTGTTATGTTCGGGACCTTTCAGAGCTCGCTGGTGCGGCTCGGATCTTCAGCAGACTCGTATTATGAATATTTAGCTGTGAGTGGCAGTGAATTCATGACCTTTGTTATTCTTCTCTCATACGGTTTACAGAAAGCAATATCTGCAGACTGTGAGCCTGTATGCTTACCTTACCTTAAGAGCCTCTAACTGAATAGGTACACAGAACATGACGGAACCTATCTATCAAACGGTTCGTCAGAGCTTTTCACCAGACTACAATGATCGAGACCGGTTATCAATCGCAATTCAATCTAGATGTACGACCACGCCATGGATGGAATTGCGGAGAACCTCATGCAACAGACTCCCGAAGAAAATCTGACTTATATGGGCGAACTTAATCCTCTGGGCCGTCCTCTGGCTAACGACGGCACAATGAGGTTCGTACTTGTAACTTCTACTAATTAAGATTCCTTCAAATTCTTTCCATTGCAGCACTTGGAATTTCGGAAACCGGCAGGAACACCTCGTCTGCTTCCTTGCTGGCTCCCTGATGCTTGGTGCCAGTGACTTCTGGATCTCGAAACGGAAGCCACACGGTTTCGGTACCACCTCGACCATCACAGCTCACACCGCGAGGACTGAGAGACTGGAAGATGGGAATAGATTTCCTGGAAGGCTGCTTGAGCACACACGATACTTTGACGTGAGCGACTATGACTTTGTTTTGTCCGGCTACTTATGAGCATTCGTTGCGTTTAAGTGGATTAGCACCTGAAGTCGCACAATTCAGAGCCGCCGAAGATGTCGATTATCCGTACAGTAGAGATTGGTTCATTCCTGGAAGGTAAGATTTCGAGAATCTCTCTCGCTTAACCTTACCGATTGTTTACTTGCAGGATGAGGAACACCAAAAACGACAAGTGGGCACCGTATGAAGCACAATATATGCTAAGGTTAGTACAATCAGAAACCACTTGAACGTCATTCACTCACTGTCTTCCGCAGGCCAGAAATCGTTGAATCGCTGTTCATCGCCTGGCGTCTAACCGGCGACCTTCGCTATCGCGACTGGGCATGGAACATCTTTTCTTCCATTGAAAAGCACGCTCGGATACCAACAGGCGGATACGCTACCGTTTCAGATGTGGATCAAATCCCGGTCAAGTTGGTGGATAAACAGGAAACGTTTTTCTTGAGCGAAACACTGAAATACCTCTATCTTACGTTCTGTGAGTCCAATGTTCTTCCATTACAAGGTGCGGTTTATGTTGAAATATCTGAAGCTACTGCTAAATGTTCGCTTCTAGACATTGTATTCAATACTGAGGTAGGTGCTAGGTCCTTGAATTCGACACGTACTGAGAGGTGTATATATCTCAGGCGCATCCTTTTCCTTTGTTTAATCCCACAATTAAAGCGGAGTTTGTGTAAGAGGATATTTAATGTGAAGTACGATTGAGTACGATAAAAGTAATAAAAATAATATAAAACATACAAAGATACGAACCGACAATTCCCTCTAGCCGACTTGAACGACTGACCTCGTCATTACTAGTGACGCGCTCTACCAGCTGAGCTAAGAGGGATTACAAGTGTTGCATATGTCAGAAACACATTAGACATTTAGCAGAAGGAGTAACTAGAATATGACAAAATCATCGGGACAGCAGAAAATGTACTACAGATGATACATAGCGAAAACTACTTATGCTCAGATTGCATCACCAGCCGAGAAAACCTACTCCGATTGCGTATCGCTGGACCGTAGAAGAATAGAATCTGTAGAATGAACGTCCGGTTAGTCGGTCAACTGCAGCAATTCTGCCAGGCAGTTCATTTAACTTACAAAGGGAATCGGCATTAGAAGACAAGCGATACAACCGAATAAAGTATTCGCCCATTTGAATGTTAGTTTCGCATACATTTGCTCAGTAAAGAGTGGAAAGCTGTCGCTGCGAGGTTTCGGCACAAACTTTGTCCTGCCAAAGCAGAAGAAGCGAATGGACCGTAGCTGGAAATGGGTGTTGTCAGATTACGACGCGGAAAATAATGATAGCCAGATAGCCAATCGTACCAGTCGGCGAGATAGGTAAACACGGCTAGGTAAATGATGAACGTGCCATACAGAAAGATCTGAAGACCATTGAACGGATGATTAGAGTTAAGTAAATACTTGGAGCTTCAGAAAATTACCGTGATTCCAATCGTCAAAACAATCCAAGGGACGTGGCTAAACGTTGACCAGGCATAGATGAACATCCCACAAGGAATAAGTACAGCAGCACAGCAAGCCAGGTATAATCGAGCTTCCGGTCCACGAGTGCCAAAGTTTCTACTGCAATAAACAGTAAAATCGCGCTGCTCGTGTTAGTAGAAGACGACTTACTGGTATAAATGCTCTTGAAAAAAGTTTGTAGCGAAACCAAGCACAGAACCGATTCTGAAATTAAAATCAGCAGCGGTATATACAGGGTAGTATCTCGAGAATGACTCGACATACATGAATGTTAGGAAAACAGTTCCTATCTGACCGATATTAAACCCATGAATGTCACTGAAGACTAAGCCGATGGACCTAGGTGGGCATTTAGAGAAGCGTGCGCGAATGAGACTCGGAAAACACACTCAATCATGCAATACAAAATACCCCATACAAAACCTATCCATAACTGAAAAATGAATGAGACGAATAAAATGGGGATACCACATTGGACAGCACTCACACTAAAGCTAGCCACAACAGGTTCAGTTATGAGTAGATCTGCGGAATTTAGTATTCCTAGACTTGATCCAGTTACTAAAGCTTACGAATTGGTCTTGTACAGGATATCCAAATCAGAGTGGTGAGCTTCATCCGCTCATCCTCGATCCTAGCACGATATCGATGATCACCAGTTTCCTTTCGTATCTTTTTGGCAATTCTTGTCAGAATTATTGAAGAACGCGTTTCTTTCATGATGATTGGGACGAGCAGGAGGTAGAAGCCGGTAATTCTAAACGAACAAGTCAACAGGATAAGACGGCGGAGGTCGGTCAACCTACATCATCTGAATCCACTGAATCCATCGCCACTCTAACCGAGGGTTCATCTCCACCCAACCAGCATAGACGGGACCAAATCCCGTACCGCCTATCGCTGCGACGGCAAAGAAAGACATGGGTAGGCCTCGTCTTTTCAACGAGGAAATCATTCAAAAAAAACCACCCCAAGAGCGAAAGGGAAAACATACTCATGACTTTGCCAAATATCTGCAATTGTCCCTCCAACCATAGTAGCCCATGTAGAGCCAAACGCTCCTTGGATGAATCGCGCTATAAGCACTGTTTGGATGTTGTGTGCTCTAGTATAAGACAGAAGATACTGAGCAATTGCGAGGATACATTCTGTTGGCCTCTTGACACTCACGTTGCTATCACAAGATACATGAACAAAACCCCAGTGGCTGACATGTAGTACAAGGGCTGTCGACCTATCTCCTCACTGAACGAGGCTGTCACAAGAGGTACAATCCCGAAACCCAACGCGTAAAGACTCAAGCCTATTGTAGCTTGAAATTCCGTGCAATTTAGATCAGCTATCATCGAGTCGAACCCCATATTGTACGTGCTCGCGGTGCAAGCTAAAGCGTTTTAATTTTTAGCCGAGAAAAATCAGTCGAGGGACCAACTCACAGGCAAGGAAAGTAGAGAAACACGCTAGACAGGTTATAGACCATTTTTTCGAACGGGAGAAGTTTATTGGATTCCGTGCGTCTCCTTGTTCGAATTCTATCTATTTATTGGAGGCTGGTAAATAAAAACGTTGCAAAATGCTTAATAGACTCTACTCACATAGCGAGGCCGGTACTCTGTTTTCTCCAACTCTGATTCGTTGGTGTTCTTGGAATTCCCGATCGGAGCGGCCAGAACGGGCCTCGATGTCGATGAAAGGCTAAGCCTTGGATCGAGACTGGGCTCTCGCACATCTTCGACCGACTTGACCACAACTCCTCCGAATCCCTTGAGTTCACGCTTTGGCTCTAGCTCGGCAAAAACGGTGCTTGCTGCTGGTGAAACCAAACTATCAGCGTGTTGGACCATAGCGAGCGTGAATGGTTAAAGTTAGAGAACAGAGAAAAAGAGGACTGGAGTCATGACATTAAGCCAAACCAAAAAAGCAGGTGGAGTATCTATGAGGCCTAGGAAGAAAGATGAACAGCTAGCCGATCCCGGCGGATGGTACCGAACTACCCTGTTTGATTTTACGTTATGGGCGCGTCTTATTTAACCTTATAACGCGTCGCATCTTCAGACATCAGTTCATCGCAATGAGGCCTTGATCCATACACCGGGATGAAAATAACAGTCGAGCACACCTTGAATTCGGATGTCACTGACAACGGTTCTTGAGAACATAGTTGCATCTCTAGTGAACTCTCTGTAGATATTCTGAGGCAGCCGCGCGTACGGAAGGGCTCACTATTAAAGGGCTAAATAAGCCTTAGTCGATGGGGCTATTCGTACAAAGATCTAGCTATATATGTAAATACTCACCGCTTTGAGTTTGATATAGGCCCCTGAATGACACTACGATTCTGGTCTAACAGCTGCTTGCAAATTTGTAGCATAGATTTTGCGAAATGCTCTTTAGTGATCTTATTTACAACCAAACACGCCACCGCTTGGCCAGTGTCAGTTAATTTTGTCAGACGTCTTGCCATGCCTCCTCAAATAGTAATGGACAATTTTCGCTACATCCATCCAGCTGCAAAAGACAGAAGGAGAGCGAATAGGAAAATATATACTCATGGGGAAAAGGCTGAGAGTTGCTCGAAGGTAACGCACAGGTTACGCACTAGTCCATTTGTTGATGTTCTCCAGGTTCAGGGATGTCAAGGTGTAGAGAAAAAAAAAATGCTTTACATGGTCTGGCGTTGAGGAGACCTGCGGAATATGCAGGTGACCGTGCAGCGGAGCAGGCATCGAGGCTCCGGCATGACGTTGTTCTATTTGGCTGTAAATAAGATCACTAAAGAGTATTTCGCAAAATCTATGCTACAAATTTGCAAGTGGCTGAAATGACGCTATACCAGGGCTCGCTCTAAATGACACTAATTCGGGCGTGCTTCAGGCGTGCTTCAGTAGGAGTTTCTGGTGACCTTTTGATATATACTATCTGGCGCTCGATAACTCCCATGGCCACATCCCTTCTAAATCCAGTCTAGTGGGTGTAGGCTCCAATAGCTTTGGCATGTAAAATTCCTATTTACACAAAAAGGGTTACTTTTCAGAAATGGTATGTAGCATTCAGAATTCTTCGCCAGATGAGAAGTAATTCTTACATACTTGCCTTGAGAGTAGGGAAGGAATAATAAGAAGCTATAAGTGAAGTTGATATATCGCTCGCTTTCGTGACAGGGATAGACAACGACAGATATGCTTCCGGATGGGCCCGAAGTATTTGCAGAGATGCTCTGCCCTTAAAGTGAAGAGGTGACTTCTGCTACCGAATCTGATCATAGAGCAGCGTACGCTTTCACCTTGCGTTTTTTTACATGCTACACACCTGATCCAGAGTCGAGTTAAGTATTAGCCGTAGGGGGCACTTCCCTGTGTGCTAATTAGCTTTTGTTCTAGTCCAGCATTAAGTATCAAACCAATCCGAAGGTTAATCGACGTAAGGGGTTCCGACCTCTGTAAATCCAATTGGTAGAGCCGAAATTCGGAGAGTGCGTAGTGCTGAGTCATGAATCCGCATGGTGGGCTTAAATGAGAGCCGAGCGTCTTTGCCCGCGGTCTACCGTGTCGAATAACCGGCTCCGTCGTATTCTATCCCCGTTTTAGCTTTATTCTCGAACCTCAATTACTGAACACGTGTATCTCAAGACTGAAGTCATCTAACCCTGCACGCAGACAATAAATGCAGAAGACGAGAGTTTGCTGCGTGGAAGAACGGTCTATCAAATAATACGCTTTGGCCTGTGACAAATCAGAATATTATCCGAGCGTCAGCAGATGTCCCTGCTCAAGAAAAAAATTAGCTGGATAGACCGTATTAGCCGCATGTCTCAAAACAATTTTGAGATGTGGAGCTATTCAAAAACAATCCAAAAATTGACCAAAAACATTTTGAGACATGCAGCTAATACGGCCTGATGACAGCTGTTCCAAAAAACCTAGGCCACTTCGTAATTTTGCTGCAGTGACACAAGCAGTTCAATTCTGGCAGGGCTTGTAGGCAATTGAATCAAATGGAGTAGCAACTGAATAGGGAGCTGTATATAAACACAATTCTATAGCATGCTATAGTTCTGGACAGTAGGTACCCTTGCTGTGGGTGCTATGGGTGCTGTTGTTAGAAATAAGAAATGGAGTTTAAATGATTGTGTAGCCGTTTGACCTTGACTGGGCCCTGAGGCAAACGGGTAAGGTACATGAGTAACTACATACTGTATTTATACCTGTAAGAATGACTATGTCATAGTGCATATAACAGGAAAGTAGGTACTATGTGAATATTGGTGGCTACTATGCATACAGTAAAGTGGCTACTGTGAGTATATGCATGATACTGTGGTGTATGTGCAAATATCTCCTGTGATATCAT